ATTTTATCTTCCGTCCTTGGCTACGTTTGGCTGCTTCACCTAGAAGTACCCGATCCACAAAAGATTCCAAACTATCCGTTGGCTGTTCTCGCTTTCGCTGCAAGCGGCTCAATCGAACTTTTATCCGAACAACTGTGGGTGTTGACCCAAGCCTTTGTGTTTTTACGCCTCAAAGTCATCATAGAAGGCATCGCAAACTTTGCCAGATGTGTGATTACTCTAGCTCTTGTAGTGCTCTTTCCAGATCTCGGAATTGTTTCATTTTGCCTGGCACAAATGGCTTTCTCAATATTATCCATGATTCTGTATTATGTATACTTTTTGTACTACATTCAAAACGTCCCCAAAGAAAAGGAAACCGCCATGGATGGCTTCCCTCTGAAATCTGTCCGTGACTTTTTCCCCAGAAGAATTCCTGGTTTGAGTGTCGTAAGTTGGGGTATGGTGCATCTTACGTGGAGCTTTTTTAAACAATCCTTCCTAAAGAAAATCTTGACCGAGGGGGAACGGTATATCATGACTCTGTTCAAAGTGTTAACGTTTTCTCAGCAGGGTATCTACGATGTTATTAACAACCTGGGCTCGTTAGTTGCCAGATGTGTTTTCATGCCCATTGAGGAAAGTTATTACACATTTTTTGCGCATACCTTGGTTCGTGGAAATTATGCTGATCAGCAAGCCGAAAAGTCAGCAAAAATGGCCTCTGAAATACTGGAAGTTGTACTAAAGTTTGTTGTTCTGGTTGGGATGACATTTTTGGTATTTGGCTATGGTTATTCTTTTCTGTTGTTAGACATCTATGGTGGGTCAACCCTCAGCAGTGGAGAAGGTAGTTTACTTTTTTAATTTCACAATTTCTTTTATCCTGTAGAAAAAAAACCAAATAATTTCTTTTTTTCTGTAAAAATAAACAAATTATTTTAAAGAAGTGATAATGAATAAATTGTGCCAACTTTCCTCATTTCCAACCAGTGGCCAAATTGCAGAGGAACCAGAGAGGTGAGATTGGATGCTAGCATATTAAGATGCACCATACAGCTGCTTCAGTCAATGTTTGATTTCATCTCACCTGAGAATGGATTTTACTAACAGCATACCTGTTACAGGTCAAATTTGATTTCAGGTTAACTTTGATTTAACCTTGGTTTATTCTCAATTTCCTTTATTTCCTGGCCCTAATTCATGAATAGTTGGGGCTAGGAGACAAAAGAAATTGAGAATCAACCAAGGTTAAAAAAATTTAACCTGAAATCAAATTTTTTCCTGTAATATACCCACCTCTTTATATCACCTAAAATTATCCTCAAGTGGATGCAACATATGTAGCAATTATTGAATGAGGCTGAGTAGGATATGAAGAATTCTGCAGATCGAGGAGGGACAACACCAGGGTTGTCATTAAGAGTCGGGGGCCGGGGATTTTCCCCGGCTACTAAGAGAGTGGCCCCCGGCTACTTTTATTGGGAAATAGAAGAAAATAGAACCAAAAGAAATCCCTAGCCATTTGATTCCCCGCGTACTTGTTGTGTTTACCCGGCAACTTGAAATCTTAGTGACAACCCTGCAACACCCTCCAAGATCTGCATAATTCTTCATATCCTACGAAAGTCAAATTCAATACATACTTTATTATTCATTCAAAATAATGCCAAGTTTGAAAACAAGCTAAAACTTGCTTACTTCAGTCAATGTTAAGTTTACATCGATAGTGCATCTTTATTGGGAAATTTAGGAGATAAAGGTCTGTTCAGGTCTTCAAATAGACTCCAAATAGCAGATATCGTCCATCAAGTTTTCTTCATGCTGTTCTTGCCATGATTTTAGACAATATTTCACCATGAAACAAGTAAAATGTTTTGCCGGCTGTTCAGCCATTCTTTTCTCATCACCAAAACAACCCAACCTCATCCCCACGTTTTCTTGGTTATCTTCAATAATCTGCATGTTTGGCTGCACTTTTGATGTCATAGGTTCAATATGACAAAATTCTTCCAAATTTGGTCAATAGAAGCTGGTCATGATGAATAATTATACATGTGCTTTTAGCCAATCAGAAACAGAGAAATATTTTCAATGAATATTAAATAAAGTGCAACTAATAATCTCTATTTTGAAGGTCCCTCACTGCTCCAGATGTATTGCTTGTATGTGCTGATCATAGCAGTGAATGGTATGACAGAGTGCTTCATGTTTGCTGCCATGAGCAAGGAGGATGTTGATGCTTATAACTACAAGATGATGGTATTCTCAGTTATCTTTTTAGCAGCATCTTGGTATCTTACTTTCCTTGGAAGTGTTGGCTTTGTTATTGCCAACTGTTTGAACATGCTTCTTCGAATTTATCACAGGTCAGTGGCAACCTTGCTGGTAGCTGAGTCTGGGAAGGGGGGGGGGGGGGGGGTT